TTTCACCATGTTGACCAGGATGGTCTCGATCTCTTGACCTTGTGATCCACCCGCCTCAGCCTCCCAAAGTGCTGGGATTACAGGCGTGAGCCACCGCGCCCGGCCAATTTTTTTTATTTTTTGAGACAGAGTCTCACTCTGTTGCCTATGCTGGGTTGCACTGGCATGATCTCGGCTCCCTGCAACCTCCACCTCCCAGGTTCAAGCAGTTCTCCTGCCTCAGCCTCCCGAATAGCTGGGATTACAAGTACGTGCCACCATGCCTGGCTATTTTTTTTATATTTTCAGTAGAGTTGGGGTTTCACCATGTTGGCCAGGCTGGTCTCAAACTCCTGACCTCAAGTGATCCACCTACCTCAGCCTCCCAAAGTGCCGGGATTACAGGCGTGAGCCATAGCATCTGGCTTTGTGTTTGACTACATTTTAAAGAGTAATGAGTTTAAAGGCTACATTTTAAAGAGTTCAGTAGACACATGTTGGGTCATCAGACATTTTTGGACACTTTCTATGTGCAAGGCACTAGGCTCAGTGCAGGTCCTCTTATCACTGGGTGTGTGATGGAATAAAGCAAATCACTGGACACTTGTGCAAAGCACCAAAAGGATCAGTAGCTACTCCTAGGAGTAACATACCCCACTTCATCTGTTTTGGTTTTTTTCATTGTCAGGTCTGAAGTAGCTTCCCTCCTGATCCCTCCTTCCAGCCTTCCAGACACACTAGTGAATTGGCTGCTGCATAGAGTGGCTCCAATAGCAAACACTTTATGTGTCAGGAATAGTGGACCTCCAGCCACCTACCTGTCCTGATATGTGTAAAGGGCTAATGCCAATGTGTCCATTGTGAGAAGCGTGTCATTTAAAATACTTACAAATAACAGTGTACCATCTGTTCTTACAAACAACCAAAAGACCAAACCATGATGGAACAAAGAAGGTACTTTCAGCAGGGTTTTTAAAATTTGCCTTTAACTCAAACAGCAGGGTGTGTGTGGGGGGGGGGGATGGGGGACAGACAAAGATCCCAAGCGTTTTAGAATAGTTTCCTAATCAACAGCTCTTTTGCTCTTTCAATTAACACAAGAGAGTACTTCCTGCTTTTTAAGGACAGCTTGGCCAATGACAGGACTTCTCCTGACTGAGAATGATAAAATCTAATTCATGGTTGAAATGTCTTCTGCTGCGGCTGTGGGTTTCAGTGGTAGGTGCCTCAAGAGGCTGAAGAATGGAGTGGGGATGAGGTCAGGCAGCTAGTGCTGTGATGGAGATGTGGCTTCCTTTGGAAGGGGCTCAAAGAGCTGTGCTATTTGTGAGCTTGGGCAGGTCACCTAGATGTTCCTTTAACCCAGGTCTATTACTCTGTTAGAACCACTATGGGCCGGGCGCAGTGGCTCAAGCCTGTAATCCCAGCACTTTGGGAGGCCGAGGTGGGTGGATCACGAGGTCAAGAGATCGAGACCATCCTGGTCAACAAGGTGAAACCTCGCCTCTACTAAAAATACAAAAATTAGCTGGGCATGGTGGCGCGTGCCTGTAGTCCCAGCTACTCAGGAGGCTGAGGCAGGAGAATTGCCTGAACCCAGGAGGCGGAGGTTGCGGTGAGCCGAGATCGCGCCATTGCACTCCAGCCTGGGTAACAAGAGCGAAACTCTGTCTCAAAAAAAAAAAAAAGAACCACTATGACTCAGTACCCTAAAAACCTCAAGGCATCCTTTGCATCCTACTTCTGTCTCTTATGTCCTGTGGGTGAATTCTGGAGACTTCTCAGAAGCCTCCAATGACTTCCATTGTGTGGGGTATAAAATAGAACAGCGTTTTATCTCCTTTGTATCGCCAATGCTTACACAGAGCTTGGCACGTAATAGTTGGTCAGTAAATGAATATTCATCCAAATCATATCCTTTCTCTGAGGATCCTCTAGATTCTCTGAACAGATTAAACCCTTTCTTCCCCCCACTTTTTTTTTTTTACTGTACTTTGTCCCTCTGTGATAGTATTTTTACCAATGCCTGGTTTATTCTGGGGTCACCTGTGTATGTGTCTGTCTTCCCCACGGGACTGTGACCCTTAGTGGAGAAGGATCGTGCATATATATTAATATATTAGAAATGAAGTCTTGCTGTGTTGGCCAGATTGGTTCTGAACTCCTGGCCTCAAGCAATCCTCCTGCCTTGGCCTCCCAAAGTGCTAGGATTACAGGTGTAAGCCCCTGCACCTGGCCTTTATTTTATTCCTTACTCTGTTTTGTTGTCTGGCACATAGTAGATGTTCAGGAAGTATGTGCTGAATTGAGACCCTTTTGCTGACCTCACGTCTAAAATGAGGAACAGGATGCCACGTATGTGGTCTCGTTGTTGAGAAACTGGGTCCTGAGGTGGCTGGGAAAGCTACATGTCTGCCTCGTCACTTAGTACTAGAGTCATTGATGCCTGTGTCGTCTGATTAGGGAAGCTGAGCCACAGAAGTTCTTCCTATCTGAGCTTGCAATGGGGTGACTCATCTTGTTATTCCTCTCGTCCATTTCACCTCTAGATATGTACAAGCTGACCTCTGAATTGCTTGGAGAGGGAGCCTATGCCAAAGTTCAAGGTGCCGTGAGCCTGCAGAATGGCAAAGAGTATGCTGTCAAAGTGAGTGTCTCAACTGAATGCCAGGCTTTACTCTGCAAATAGTCATGCCTAGCTCACCCTGAACCAGATAAATGTTATATTCCATAAGAATGGGGTCTCTGAAGCTGTATTCACTGGATGCAAATCTTGGTTTCATTACTTGCTTACTGTGTTACCTTGGGCAGCTTACCTAACCTCTCTGTCCTTCACTTTTCTCATCTGTAAAATGGGTATAATACTAGAACCTATGTAGAATTGTTGTGAGGATTAAGTAAGTTAATATAGGTAAAGTGCTCAGCACAAGGCTTGGCTCATAGTAAGTTGCTCATTATTCTGACAAATGAAGTCAGCTTCAGAGAGTGGACAACCAGATTTGGAATTAGAAGGCCTACCTGAATTTCTATCTTGACAAACTATACTTGTTTGACTTTGGGCATGTCATCAAATGTCCATAAGCCTCAGTTCCTACATCTCTAGATGCTGATAACTGCCCTTCTATCTCCTGGGGCAGTTATGAAGATGAAAATTAAAATGTCCTGGGAGAGGTGGAAACGCTTTACATGCCACAAAATGCTACGCAAGTGATAGACGTTAGCATGATAGTGAGGATTAAAAACTAAAGTGACTGATTTGGTAACATCTGAATGTTATCCAAGAAAAAAATAAAAGAATAAAAACTAAAATGACTAAGCACTCAGTTTTTGGGCAGGAGAAGTGGCTCCTGGCCTCATTGCTGTCTTTAATTAGCTGCAAAGCCTTGGAGTGGCTGATGTCACCCCTCTGTGCCTCCACTTGCCCTCTCCATATCCAGAAGAGCTGGATCTTGAGCAGTGGTTCTCAAAATGTGGACCCTGGACCAGCGGCCTCAGCATCGCTTGAGAACTTGTTAGAAGTTATCTTGCCCTACGTGAGAAGTAGCAACTCAGAAACAAGGGGCGGGCCCAGCAGTATGAATGTTAACAAACTCTCCAGGTGACTCTGCTACTCACTAATCCGTGAGGACTACGGATATAGGAAGGGCAGTTGTGAACACTACTGTGTATTAGAAGCCCCTGGAGCTTCACAAAGCACACACAGATCCAGGTTTCCAGATGAAGGACAGGGCCTCGGTCTCTGTGGCTTGACCAGGTTCCTCACATGAGTCTCATACCCACCTGAGGACATTTGAGGACTACTGACCTACAGAAAGGGTCTTTTTAAATCCATGCTGATTTCAAATCACCCACCTGAGCCACCATGTCAAGTGCCATCTCACACGGGCAAGCCCAGTCCAATGGGCTCCTGAAGGCAATGTTTTTTCTTCTTTGAACCAACATTCCACAGTCCCAGCTGTGGGTTAGATAGGCGAGCAAGTCGGCTAAGCCACTTTCCTTTGAGCTGGAGTGTTGCTTCACATAGTAATAAAAGAGCTATCTCAACTTCCTTTGAGAAACAGATCAATATAAATTACAAGTGATTTTTAAAACATATGCCTAAGTGTAAATACAAAAATTAGGCCAGCCATGGTGGCTCACACCTTAATCCCAGCACTTTGGGAGGCTGAGGCAGCCGATCACCTGAGGTCAGGAGTTCAAGACCAGCCTGGCCAACATGGTGAAATCCATCTCTACTAAAAATACAAAAAAATTAGCTGGGTGTGGTGCATACCTATGATCCCAGCTACTCAGGAGGCTGAGGCAGGAGAATCCCTTGAACCCGGGAGGTAGAAGTTGCAGTGAGCCGAGATCATACCACTGCACTCCAGCCTCGGCAACAGAATAAGACTCTGTCTCAAAAAAAAAAAAAAAAAAAAAAGGCCAGGCACAGTGTCTCATGCCTGTAATCCCAGCACTCTGGGAGGCTGAAGAGGGTGGATCCCCTGAGGTCAGGAGTTCAAGACCAGCCTGGCCAACATGGCAAAACCCCATCTCTACTAAAAATACAAAAATTAGCTGGGCACGGTGGTGCATACCTGTAATCCCAGCTACTTGGGAGACTGAGGCAGGAGAATCACTTGAACCTGGGAGGTGGAAGTTGCAGTGAGCTGGGATTGTATCATTGCACTCCAGCATGGGCAACAAGAGAGAAATTCCGTCTCAAAAAAAAAAAAACATCCGGGTGTGGTGGTGTGTGCTTCTAATTCCAGCTACCCAGGAGGCTGAGGCAGGAGGATCACTTCAGCTCAAGAGGCAAAGATTTCAGTGAGCCAGGATCACGCCACTGTATTCCACTCTTGACCAGAGAGGGAGACTGTCTCAAAAAAAAAAAAATTGATATATATGCCTAAATGTGGTAAAAACTATAACCGTAAACTGATTTTCAAAGGTTTAAATACATTTATGGATGAGAGATATATTTCTTCAAGGTTGGATCACAGGAGGAAAACCTGGCCCTTCCTCCATAGGCCCCTGGCATCTTTGGGGCAAACGCTGGACTCTGGCTTGGCAGTTCCTTGGTTTCAACAGTTCTGCCCATGTTTCCTCTCTCCCCTGTTCTTTGAAGCCTCCCTAGAGATGGGCTACTTCTCCCAACATGGCTCCACAACACTTGGCTTATTACAGCTTTCCCTAGAGGCACCCAACTGATGCTAGAGTCTCAGGTTGGAATGGAGTTTCAAGATAACCTAACCCTGAATTTCCTCTGTGACTCCCCGGAGAGTTGTCCATGTTCCGCTCCCCTGTCTCTAGTAGCAAGAGCCCATTACCTCCTCAGAGAAGACTGTGCTGTGGAAAGCTTGCCTGCTAGAAAGTTCTTCATGACTTTGATCTGAAATGCTTGGGGAATGAAGTTGAATCACTTCTGTTCCCCAGCACTATACCCTTCAACTCAGAAAATGAGTCCACTGTGGTTTACGAACAGACGTAGACTTATTTAGAAAATTACAGTTGGTCAGCTAGGTGTGATGGCTCACGCCTGTAATCACAGTACTTTGAGAGACCGAGGCAGGCTGATCACGTGAGGTCAGGAGTTTGAGGCCAGCCTGACCAACATGGTGAAACCCCATCTCTACCAAAAATAAAAAAAATTAGCTGGCCTTGGTGGCAGACGCCTGTAATCCCAGCTACTCCGGAGGCTGAGGCAGGAGAATCACTTGAACACGGGAGGCAGAGGTTGCAGTGAGCTGAGATCACGCCACTGCACTCCAGCCTGGGTGACAAGAGCGAAACTCTGTCTCAAAAAAAATAGAAAAAGAAAATTCCAGCTGGTCCCGGATGCCTGTGCTATATCCTATGGGAGACGTTTGAAGTCTCGATGAAGGAGGAGGATGTCATTGTCTGTGCTGCCCACCGTGCCCGTTGGAGCAGTAAGGCAGAGCCAGGCTCTGCAGATTTGCTCACAGGCTCAGTTTGAGGTGGTTTGAGGCTCCAGATGGGTCCAGAGTATTTTGCAGAGGCACGCTGTCCCTTTGGAAACCACTGTCCCATCTGTTGGCTTATCCATTCCTTCAGTCAGCATTTGCCAAGCATCTCAGGTAAAGTTGTGCAGGGGGAGCAGCCCACAGTATCACAGGAGAGACAAAGCCTCCAAGTACGCGAAGAAGCTAGAGCATCTAAGCAGGTGTGGGATAGCAAGGGCTTCGGAGTCAGCTCTGGACTGTGGGCAAATGTTTCATACCTCCCTATCTTTCAATGTTGTCATAAAGGTCAACTGAGATTATGTAAATAAATTCTTTAACACACTGCCTGCCAGAGAGTAAGTTCTCAGAAGAGGAAGAGCCTACTTCTGCCAGGGGAATTGTGGAGGCAGCCTCTGAACTGGGCCTCAGAGCTTTAGCTCCTCCCCACGGTGTCCTCCACCAGCCTCTCTCCCTCCAGCACTAGAAGATCCTTCAGTAGACACAGTAAATGCTTACCTTTAAGATGGAAAGATGAGGAGCTGAGTAAGGTAGTTCTTTGTCTTGGGGCTGCCTCAGTCTCCCCTGGGCAGCTGGGGGCAGCAGCCTCATTCACTTCCTTGGTGTTGTGCTTGGCCAGAGTGGAATGGGCTCAGCTGGGCTGGGAGCCCTGGGGCCAGTCTGCTGCTTTGCCAACAGAGCCACAGAGCCTATGTCACCAAGGCCTATGCCAGACTTCTACTTGACACTGGATTTGGACTGAGTTTGGCCTTGCCTTCTCTCAGAGGGCTCCTGCCAAGGGGCTGTTTTGAAGTCAGGTGAGTGTACATGACAGATTATATTCTTCCCACAGATCATCGAAAAACAAGCAGGGCACAGTCGGAGTAGAGTGTTTCGAGAGGTGGAGACGCTGTATCAGTGTCAGGGAAACAAGTGAGTATCACGTGGCTCTTGCTGCTTCTCTGGGGGTATGCTTGGCCACAGAAAAGGAGGCTATTTTTTACCATCTCCTGACCCCAGCATTTAGCTCTCACTCCTGTCCCCACAAGGCAGGTACCTCCTTCCATCTTTCAGTGTTAGGGAGAAAAAAGAAAAGCAGCAATAACAGCAAAGGAGCTATCATCTCTTCTGAATACTGTAAATATCAGCAATTTGGGCAAGTGAGAAGAATGAGTGATCTGAATCAGTGGTTGTTGGGAGGAAATGGGGTTTGATTTCTATCAGTACATGTGGAAACTAGGTTGACTGAGTGTTGCCTGGTAGAAACCTTTAAGGACTTGCTTCAATACCAAGGTGAGGAGTACTGTTAAGAATATTTGCTGCTATTTCTGCTCCTAGAATATTTGCATATGCACAGATACCACTAAGGACCTGGAACCTTGTCTAGCACTCCTTCTAGATAGCTGGGTCCAGGTCATCTCTAGCCCAGTTCATTCTGCCCACCACCAGCTCCAAATGAGTGGCTCTCCCACTGTGGCTCTAAATCAGGGTCACCTCTAAGACGCCACTTCCCCCTCTTTCCCTCCATGGCAGGGTCAGCGGGGAGCCAGGGGCCTGGTATTGATGGCTTTGTCATTAAGCTTGGAGGATGGGGGCTGCTGTTGATTTAACTCCAGGCACTGCCTCCACAATCTTCTTTCAAATTAGGCCATTTTGCCCATCTTATTTGGACACCTTCACACTAGTAAAAGCCTGGTATCTCCCAAAGTAGTCAGCATTTTTTTATGAGGGACGGATTTTTATTTTCAGCCCTGCAGCTTCTTAGTTCAGCGTTAGAGACTCTATTTGGTTTATTTTGTTCTTTAAAAGAAAAAAGGCCGCCAACACCTCCAATATCCAGGCTGGTTGCTTCCCTACTGAGTTACAAGACGACCTTGTTGGCAGAGCACCGAAATACTCGGGCAGACAGAGAGTGCTCACCGGGGAAGGCCACAAGTGCTATGGTGGCCGGGAACGCGCCCGTTTCATTAAGCAGCGCTTAGCAGTTAAGGTCTAGCGGTGCCTACGTTAGGCCCCAAGTCTATTTGACAGATGTTTCCATTTTCTCCAGGCAATGTAAATACTGCCCCGTGATTTATGGGCAAGAGGGAGGGCAAGTAATTATTTGCTGCTTGCCTCCAGGACACACACCTACTATTCAGTGTTATTAGCCGCAATTGCTTCCAGTCGGCTGCAGATTTTATTCAGTTTAATGTGACCGGGACTTTTTTATAACTCTACCTAGTGGGTTTTAGGGCTGGGGTTTGACAGCACAGACTTGGTGAAAACACCAGAGACTAAACATTATGGAAAGATAAGGTGACCTGAATCTTGCTAACACCATTGGCTGCTTCCACATGCGGGTCTTTAATAAGCATTCTGATTTCAAGTTGATTTCTGCTCCACTACCAGGTGTTGTATATTATTTTCATTGTATAGTTGTAAGTAGACTTTAACATATAATACCATTTCCCCCTTTTCCCTCTCCCCCTATTTTCCCTATTTAAGGAACATTTTGGAGCTGATTGAGTTCTTTGAAGATGACACAAGGTTTTACTTGGTCTTTGAGAAATTGCAAGGAGGTACTTACCATTGAGTATGTGTGTGGACTTCTGATTAAGACCCAGGGTGGTGATCATCCATCATGAATCCCAGAGACTTCCAAAACAAGTCAAGCTAATAAAAAGGATGAAGGACTTAAAAACTGCCCTTGATTTGGGAAAAGGAAGGCCGGAGGGAAGGATGATAATTAGCATTTTGCAGAGCTTAGAATGTCACCTGTGTGGGTATTTTATAAATGCCTTTTCATTATAATAGGAGTCATATATAGATACATTTAGTCATCGATTTATCAATCCCGTTTTGACATGTTCACTATTTAACTACATTAATTATGGGGTGGAGGCTCTCAAATACATTGTGATGTCTAGAAAGGCTAAAACAGAGCAGAGGAGGGCCCTATTGTTTGGGACACAGACCTAGGATAGTGGAGAAGCCTGAAAATGTGCCATCCTTCAGATGGAAAGATGCCATCACCCACACGCACAATCACTGGGGTGTATACTTAAGTTGTTTTTCTGACATAATGAGAGGGTTAGAGAATCCCTTTCCCTTCCCATCACTCCCCCAATCTTAGGACACATTTGCAAGGTAAAGGTTGCAGGGATGTCTGGAACTGCATGGAAGGCCATACGGAGGAGCCTGGTGGTTGAGGGAGGGTGCTTTAGAAACCAGTGCAGCGAAAGCTTAAGTTTAGCTCCATTACTTACTAGCCATGTGACCTTGAACAAGTCACTTCACCTTTTCCAAACAGTATTCTCTTCTATAAAATAGAGGTATTGATAGCACCTACCTCACTGGGATGCTATGAAGATTAAATGAGATAATTCGTGTGAAATGCTTAGCACAGGGTCTAGTAGACACTAAGGGCTCAATAAATGTTGGCCGCTAATATTGTTAAAACAATTTGGTATGCCGGAGGCTGTCTTAGAAGTATGTAGAGTAGACCAGGCACAGTGGTTCACGCCTGTAATCCCCGCACTTTGGGAGGCTAAGGCAGGCAGATCACTTGAGGTCAAGAGTTTGAGACCAGCCTGGCCAACATGGTGAAACCCTGTTTCTACTAAAAATGCAAAAATTAGCTGGGTGTGGTGGTGCACACCTGTAATCCCAGCCACTGGGGAGGCTAAGGCAGGAGAATCGCTTAAACCTGGGAGGCAGAGGTTGCAGTGAGCCAAGATCGCACCACTGCACTCCAGCCTAGGTGACAGAGTGAGATTCTCTCTAAAAAAAAAAAAAAAAAAAAAGTATATAGAGTATTACTCTTTGCTTTTCCTTTTAACAAATTTGGAAATGAGGCTCACTACAGCAGAGCAAGCTAGAACCTAGTCAGGAGCCGGTTTTCTGGAAATGTTCCCTAGCACATTGGGATCCTTTTGATTATTTAACCTGGCAAGTGAACAATCTTTGGCAATTCTTCCCCTTCTTTAATGCCCTCCTGTGCCCCCAAAAAAAGAGTAGACATGTGCCATTTTTAGGACACAGAAATAATATCTTCAGCCCAGAAATACTGGCTTCCAGTAGTAAACGTAGACCACTTGAAGCCAAGCCACATGTTCCTGCCTGTGTCTGCCCCTGCACCACCCAACAACACACGACTGACTGTCAGTTATGTGTTTGAAATGCTACATGCAGATGGGGTCCTCTGTAGCCATATCAGTAAACTTAGTGTAGCTTATTGAGGCCAGACCAAGTGTGGTTGGCTAAAGAGAGTCCATCCCTGCAGCAGTCAGACCCCAAGTCCTGCTGGGGGATGTCTGCACAGATTCTGAGGCCCGACTGCCCTGGGCCTTAGTCCTGGCCTCACCCCTTTCTGGTGTATAATGTTGGGCAAGTTGCTCAACGATTTTTCTTTTTGGCTTCGGGTTCCCCCTCCGTAAAATGAGGAGTAAAAACTACCCATTTTGTCCAATCATGGTGAGAATAAGTTTATTTCAAGAGTATTCCATAGCACATGGCACTAGTAACTACTCAATAAATGTCAGTCATTGCCAACAAAACAATAATGGAACACTCAGGAGGAAAAGTCATTTTTCCCCTTTTTCCTAGGCCTTTACATGTCTGGCAAGGATGTAGCATTTCCATTTGAAAGCTTATGCTCTTGTTTGGATCAGAGCTCAGCAGCAGAGGAGAAAATGTTCCTACAGAAAGGCCCCCTCAGCTCAAATGCCTTCACTTTTATTCCTTTTGATTGCAGAAGCCAATCAGCCCCAGCAGCATTAATATTTTTTGGCCCTATTTAAGTTGTTCCCTCTGCCTTCTGAGCTCCTCATAGACAGGTACAGAAGAGAGCAGTCAGTTTTGTTTAACAGACATACAAGCTCGTACTCCTCTGTGCCAGGCCCTACACTTTGTGCTGGACAGGTAGTGATGAATAAGCGATGAAGCCCTATGTCCCCACCCCAAGTTTTCCAACCTGGGAAAAACTTAGCCTCTAAGTTACTTACGAGAGCCCAAAATGGCATTCTTCTGTGTCCCCTCTGCTCCCAAGGTTCCATCTTAGCCCACATCCAGAAGCAGAAGCACTTCAACGAGCGAGAAGCCAGCCGAGTGGTGCGGGACGTTGCTGCTGCCCTTGACTTCCTGCATACCAAAGGTGAACCCAGACTTTGCCTTGGTGGGTGGGTTGGGCTGGCTAGCCTCTGGGTACCGAGGGAGGTGGCAGGCCAGGCAGAGGGCTGGTGCAGGAGATGGTGTGGCGGGCAAGCGACTTGAGGTTTGAACATGCTCACCCATGGGGGTTGGGGAGAAACAGTCCAGGATGGCTCCTAGGCTTTGCTGCAGATGGTGGGTGGGTGGTGGAGCTGTTGAGCAGCATAGGGATACAGGAGAAAGAGCAGGGAGGAGAAAGAATCAATTTCACATTGAACAGGGTATGTGTGACTGTGTGTGTATGATGTTTCTCTTCTTAGATTCTTACTGTGTGAGGAATATAAAGCTTATACACAATATGACCTTCACAATTCGCACCAAGTGTGAATATCTTGGTGTTATTCCTCCTAGTCTTTTTTTTTTTTTTTAAGACATAGTTTTGCTCTTGTCACCCAGTCTAGAGTGCAATGGCACAATCTCAGCTCACTGCAACCTCTGCCTCCTGGGTTCAAGCAATTCTCCCAGCTTAGCCTCCCGAGTGGCTGAGCTTACAGATGCTCGCTACCATGCCCAGCTAATTTTTGTATTTTTAGTAGAGGAGGGGTTTCACCACGTAGCCAGTTCAGCCAGGCTGAACTCCTGACCTCAGGTGATCCACCCACCTTGGCCTCCCGAAATGCTGGGATTACAGGCGAGAGCCACTGCGCCCAGCACCTATGGCTGATTATTTAGGAACTTTTGTAGTGAATTAAATCTTTGCACAAACTGTTTTTATATTTCCATAAATCCTTTGACTATTACATTTTTTTTTATTATTTGCCTAATAAGTACCCTGGAACAAATGAATTCTGGTTTTACCTTTCTTCCAACTCTGTGTTCTCTCAGTAATAATGCCTGCCCTTTGGTGAGAATTTGAGATAATAACTTCGGCAACCATAGTTAACACTGTATAGCACTTGGTACGTGCTAGGCACTATTCTGAGCCTTTTAAAGATGAAAAATGTGTACTTGTGTATGTATTGTATATGTGCAGCACAGATGCAGCATAGTTCCTGGTATGTCGTAGTTCTTCAGTAAATATGATTTCCTCCATCCTCACCCCCCACCAGGAAGAAAGCATTTTTATTCCTAATATTAATTCCCTTAAAGTAAAGCATTCTGGCTAGGTGGAGTGGGAGTGAAATGAATAACTTGTGACTTAGGTCTGCCTCCTCTGCTATTGTGGATGCTGGCCAGACACAATGGTTGTGGGTGCCCAGGACCAGCGGTGGGCATGCCACTCACACATCCCACCTGGTGCCCACATTCCAGTGCAGAACACTGTGGCACGTGCTTCCGGGGGGTTCAAGTTCATTGACCCCACCTCCCTCCTCCAGTGGCTGAAAGAGGTCTGCATACCGACAGTGCCTATGTTGGGGCCCTGACTTGCACCTAGGCTGAAAACTCCTAGAAGGGGGTGTCTGTACCTTCTGCAGCATGATGAATAGCAGCAGCTCTGCTTCTGAAAGCTGGGATGCATAGAGGTAACACCTGCCTGACAAAGATTTACAACTGCTCCCCAAGCTGCCTCTGTAGATTACAAAACTGGGTCATGCTTTTTACAAGATCCATACCTTGGAGGGGGTGGCAAAGGCAGGTTTTATTTTTTATTTATTTATTTATTTATTTACAAGAATGCACTGAAGGGAACGGAGGCCGGTGGTGTCTTAGGAGTTCTGAAGCGCTGGTTAACATCTAGCTGCCCAGCTGCCCATGTGACTAGAAGTTGGAGGGGATGAAAAACGATTTCCAGCTGAACTTGGCTGTTTGCTAAATAACTTCACACGGGGAAGATAAATTGGGCAAGAATGGGTCAGCCCTGAAACAAGTTCCATACTTTTAAATACTGGACACACTGCAGCTCAACCTCTGGGAAATGAACCGGAGCAGCTCGATGGCTGCTGTGCTCACACGGCAGCCCCATTATTACAGCCTGGCTCTCTGAGTTCTCAGGCTGAGGGACGACGGGTGCCTATTTGGAGAGTAAGGCTCCATGTGCGGCTCGTGATCCTTCTGTGGGAGCACTTGCTGTAATGGAAAATATCTTTCACTTTTAGTGCGGCGAGCTGCAGTGCCACTCAATTTGTACAGCCTGGACTGAGTTGCTCTGGGTTCTCATTCAATTAGGTGACTGATGAGGTTACTGAGCTTGCTGGAGCTCAGGTTTTTCTTCTTTAGCCAAGTGCCTCCCGTGGCCTGGGCTGGGCCTTTGCCTTCTAGTCAGGACCTGGAGGACTGCCGAAAAAGTTGATCATCGAGGGAGGTTTAGTGAGGCAGATTTTGCTTTTCCCATCACCCGGAGAATCCGCTGCCACTTTTCAGTACTTCCAAGCTGTATCTCTGACTCTTGCTCAGCCTTCCAGCCCTGTCCTGTGCTGCACGTGCTGTGGAAGGAAAGAGGAAAGGGAGGTTTCTGTGTCGTCTACCAAAACACCATGGCTCTGAGTTGGCTCTTTGTCCCTTTCTTTGGTTAGAAGAGAGCTCTCCCCCAGGTGCCTTCTTGGACAGGTCAGCAGGTTAACCCCTCATGGGCTAAGCTGCTATTTCCAGTCTCCTTCAGGAGGCCTGGCCAAAGTGCAGGTGTCTTCTCTTAAAAACAGCAACCTTCGGTGGGCTGGGCATGGTGGTTCACACCTGTAATCCCCATGCTTAGGAAGGCCAAGGTGGGGGGATTTCTTGAGGCCAGGATTTCAAGAATAGCCTGAGCTATAGTGAAACCCCATCTCTATTTTTAAAAATAAATAAATAAATAACAAAAATAACAGCATCCTGGGGCCAAAGCAGTCTTTGCTCTGCTGCTGGCAGGGCTGCCTTGGACTTGCAAAGCAGGTGAGAAGGGAATCGGTCACTTTGGGACATTAGGTAACTAACACTTGCTCCTCTGCACATTCAGAGAGTCGCACTGAAGGAATTTTTTTTTTAATCGGCCACATAAGAAGAAATGAGGTAGAGCAGTCAAGCCCCCTGAGATCTCTTAAACAAGGCACTAATTATTTCTGCATTCTTGTTCCAAGCATTGCCGTTTGCAGAGCTCTCTGCTCTGCATTAGGCCTTCTTGGTGTTCACTGTGGTGCTGAGGGGTAGGCTGGCTGGGATTCATTTAGCCCTTCTTATCCCTGCCAGACTCCTAAAGCCTCCGCTTCAAAGGAACTTGCAGAATCAAGTGTGCTTTTGGTTTGTGTCTCTGGTTACTTCTGCCTCCTGCAGCTCGTTGATTTTTTAATGTACCATAATTGGGAATTAATCTGCGAACAACAGCATTTGGAAAAAATTAATTGTGTGTGGAATGTTTGATAATTATGTGCATATGTTAACCATTTTTTTGCTCTTTGTCATGTCAGGCATTGCTCATCGTGATCTGAAGCCAGAAAATATATTGTGTGAATCTGCAGAAAAGGTACTTCAGACCCGATTTGGAATGTTATAGTTTATACTTACCAAGGAAGCCACCCTTGCTTTCAGGATGGATTGTTAGCAGTTCCCTTGGCCTCAGGCACCAACTTGAACTGGTCATCTGGGACATGTGAGAATATCACATTTACTGTGTGATGTTTCTGCCCATCCTTGTCCCTTCACTGCTTTTTTTTTTTTTTTAGAATGGAGTCTTGCTCTGTCACCCAGGCTGGAGTGCAGTGGCGTGATCTCGGCTCACTGTAACCTCCACCTCCTGGGTTCAAGCGATTCTCCTGCCTCAGCCTCCTAAGTGGCCGGAATTTCAGGCACGCACCACTACGCCTGGCTAATTTTTTATATATATCTTTAGTAGAGATGGAGTTTCACCATGTTGGTCAGGCTGGTCTTGAACTCCTGACCTTGGTCCATCCGCCTTGGCCTCCCAGAGTGCTGGGATTATGGGTGTGAGCCATCGCACCCAGCCTTTCTTTGCTCTTAATCATGGTATAAGCCTGAGAGTTTGGAAAATATATGAGACCTGCACAAAACATTAATATTTTCTAGTCCAATGCATATACCTTTACAGCAGTTGATATAAGTTGTGAATAACCTTTTTTTTTTGAGACAGGGTCTCACTTTGCCACCCAGGTTGGAGTGCAGTGGCATGATCACAGCCCACTGCAGCCTCGACCACCCAGGCTCAAGTGATCCTCCTGCCTAAGCCTCCCAAGTAGCTGAGACAGCAGGCATGTGCCACCATACCCAGCTAATTTTTGTATTTTTAATAGAGTTGGGGGTTTTACCATGTTGGCCAGGCTGGTCTCCTGAGTTCCAGCAATACATTTGCCTTGGCTTCCCAAAGTGCTGGAATCACAGGCATGAGCCACCACGCCAGCCAAACAACTTAATCTTATGTGAAGCAGATCTCTTTACTAATAAATGGAAGTGTATGAATTTGACAAATTCTGTGTTTATTAGGATAGATTTAGGCCCTGGTGGTGTTGGGGCCCATGTTCACAGCTCTGTGTATATGCACATGTGTGTATGCAAGAACATACATATTGTGGTCTGGATGAAGCTGTGCCTTGTAACTAAAGGGTTGCCTTGAATGAATGAGTCATTCTGCTATTCACAACTCTTTTATGGGGAATAGTAATGGATTTGCTCAAATAAGATCTTGTCACCTCCTGTCACTGGTTCTGGCATAGGCCTTTATAATTTATTATGATTATTACTAATAATTACAGTGGACATTTCTTGAGTGCTTACCTTGTGCCAGGAACTTATATTTATTTAGTATTTATAAAATATCATTTATAATAGAGGTAGCTACTATTATTACCTTCATTTTATGGACGAGGAAACTGAAACTCAAGTTAGGAAACATGTATAGCCAGTGAGCCATGATCACACCACTGCACTCCAGCCTGGGCAGCAGGCTGTCTCGAAACAAGAAAGTGAGAAAAGGAAAGGTAAAAGTGGGAAAGGGGAAGCGGAGGAATAACTGGGGCCAGGCAGTGGCTCACACCTGTAATCCCAGTACTTTGGGAGGCTGAGGCAGGAAGATCTCTTGAGGCCAGGAGTTTAAGAACAGGCTGGGCAACAAAGCAAGACCCCATCTCCACAAAAAATATAAAAATAAGCTGGTCACAGTGGTTGCATGCTGGTAGTCCCAGCTACTCAGGAGGCTGAGGTGGGACAATTGCTTGAGCCTGGAGTTTGAGGACATGCTGGGTAATATAGTGAGACCCTGTCTCTTAAAGAGAGGTTAAGTTTCAAAGGACATTTTCTATCAAGAAAGTGAAAATACAATCTACAGAATGTGAGAAAATATTTGCAGATCATATATCTGGTCAAGGTTTAATATCCAAAATATATAAAGAATTTCTAAAACTCTACAACAAAAAAAACAAACTAATTTAAAAATGGACACAGGACTTGAACAGACATTTCTCCTAAAAGGCACACAAATGTCCAACAGGTACATGAAAAGATGCTCAACATCCTTAGTCATCAGGGAAATGTAAATCAAAACGACAGTGAGATACCACCACATACTACTGGGAAGGCGGTAATTTAAAAGGTGGAAAATAATAAGTTGTTGAGGATATGGAGAAATTGTAACCCTCATACGTTACTGGTGAGATGGTATAATGGTGCAGCTTCTGTGGAAAAGTTTGGCAATTCCTCAAAGGCTAAACACAGAATTACCATATGACCCAGCAATTCCACTCCTAGGTATTACCCAAAACAATTGAAAACAGATACTTGTATACCAATATTCGTTACAGCATTATTCACAATAGCCAAAAGGTAGAAACAACTCAAGTGGCCATCAGCAGCTGAACAGATAAACAAAATGTGGTACATACATTCAATGGAATACTAGTCAGCCATAAAACAGAATGAAGTTTTGACACACGCTGCAACATGAATGAACCTTGAAAACATTATGCTAAGTGAAATAAGCCAGATGTAAAAGGACAACTACTGTGCAAATCTACTTACATGAAATATCTGGAATGGGCAAATTAATAAAGACAGAAAGTCTTTATTAATTAATGAAATCAGATTGGAGGTTACCCAGGGCTAGGGGAAAAAAGAATGGGAGTTAGTGTTTAATGCATGTAGAGTTTCTGTTTGGAATGATGAAAGTTTTAGAAACAGATCGTGGTAATGGTTGCACAATGGTGTGAATGTTTTTAATTAATGCCACTAAGCTGTCTACTTAAAAATGGCTAAAATCTCATATTTTATGCTTTATATTTTACCACTAATGAGAAAGAGGCTAAATGAAAAAGAAAACAAAAATAGAGAAAAGGGGAGGGAGGAAGGAAGGAAGGAGAGAAAGAAGTTGAGGGACCTGCCCAGCTTCCTGACAAGGACGTGGGTCTCACAGAACCAGCATTTTAATTCATTCACCATGCCGCTTACGCACCACGTAGGCCATTCTCCTGTGTGCACCCAAACTGCCCTCCTGGTTGGCTCCACAGATGAGGCACCTGCCTGTGGTCTCAGGCACAGCATCCAGTTCTGGTAGACTTGCTGTGTTGATGCCAGCGTTGGTGACCAACCATCCCAGTTTTCCCAGGACTGAGGGGTTTCCTGGAACACAGGACTTTCTGTGTTTCAACTGATCAAGTCCCAAGCAAGCCACCCAAGACAAGTTGGTCACACTAAGCCACCTGAGGCGGTCAGGAGTTTCACTTCAAGCTCCTTTGCACTCCACCAAATGGGCAGCAAGGAGCCTGTCTCTCAGGAGTACATAGTAACTTCCCTAGCTGCTATGCTGCAACCTGTACCATTATTTACCAGCAAGAATTCCATACTCACTTTAGTCCGAGTTCACAATAATCCGACACCAAATAGTCTACCCATTTTTCCCTTAGTTGGGAAATAAGAGAGAACAGGGAATAAGACACTTGGGAAAAACCCTCAGGGGACTTCTTGTTAACCTCTGGAGAGCAGACATGACCTGGTAGATAAAACCAACTGTGTTTACAGCCACACGGCCATGCACCCGTATAGCCATTGTCTGGCTCCTAGTTTCTTATATCTATGACCCTGGCTTCTGTTTTCCTTTTCAGGTGTCTCCAGTGAAAATCTGTGACTTTGACTTGGGCAGTGGGGTGAAACTGAACAACTCCTGTACCCCCATATCCACACCAGAGCTGACCACCCCAGTATGTATGCTTCCTCTGGGCTCCTAAGTATTTGGAGTGTTTCCCTGACCCAAAGCTGAGAGGCCCAGAACAGAGAGCTGAGGATGGAAAACCAAGTGGATCTATAGCACTTCCTGCTGCCTGAGTGGTCATTTCGCTCGCTGCTCTGTATTGGTGGCTCCCAAGCCTCCCAATACCCCTTAGTTGCTAAGGAAACTGATATTTGGACTTTTAGTTTGGGGTGGTCCTCTCTTCTAATGAAGAGACAAATTATATCTATAAGCACAGGCTGAACCCTGACTCCTGACCCAGGTGAAAACGGACCCTACTCCCAGGCCAGCCCTTTTGCGCATGAGCATGTGGGTAGTTCTGTAAGCCCTATTCCCACTGCTGAAGTCACAGCGCAGCCCCCTTGTGATGGAGCATGGGGAGCTGTCCTCTCCGACTGGACAGGATAGTCTCTCTGTGGTGGGAACTGTCAGGTCTCAGGCTATGCACATGGGATCGCCTGGCCAAGTTACCCTGTTTGCTTCCCTGATTTCACATTTCATGACCAGACGGTGCTGCTGGGAGCTACTTCTTCCTCAAAAATCTCTTGTACACACCTAATAGATTATAATTATTATGATTCTTTTGAGATTTGTATGCTTCACAAGACAATTTTCCTAATAACCCTTTTGAGACATGCCCTTAAATATGCCCATGTTGTATCTTATTCCAAACAACATTATCAGGAGTGTTTCTTTATTAGCTTTTAACACACTGGACTACCTTGTTTTCAAGTCATTAACTCTAATTACCAGTAACAAAGAAAATACCCTTTCTTGAGAACACTTACCATCTTTCAGTCAAATTAGTTTTGCAGAGTGTGCAGGGATTGTTTCTTGGTGAGCCTGAAATAATGAAGAGGGGCGCAAAAAGAATGTGTTTTATTCCTATCAGCCGTTTTCTACACAAGGGTGGGAGAAAGGAATCCGGATTCTGGTCCTAGGTCTGCCATTGATGTGCTCAAACAAATCCCTGCCCCGTTCTTGGCCTTGCCTTTGCCATCTATAAATGGGAGGGGTGGGGAGGCTGGATTCATTCTAAGAACTTTTCTAGCTTTGATGGTCTCTTAATTCTAAACTCTTACACTTCCTGCTATGAGCTAGCAGGAGAGCTTGACAAGATTCACTTTAAGAAATCTTGCTGTGTGGAACTGGTTCTCCCTCCCAGAGCCATATTCTTGATGCATTTAAGTACCTGTACATGAAAGATCTGTTTATAGGGAGCTGAGGCAGGGAGAGATTCCTGGAACTTCTTGGCTAAGGGTCTTGGCCTGCTGGAGGAGGAACTGAAAGGATAAGAAGGTGACCCGGAACTGGTCCTGTGGTTGGGGGGGATGATGGGGCTCAGTCTGCAGGTGCCTTGGTGGCATCAGGCGGCTCACTGGTTGGCCTACCTAATTACTTCCTGCTCTGTATCACATCCTTCCAGTCTCCTGCCCCAGTCCCATCACAGTCTGCTCTCTGCCATCCCCTGTGCTGTGTCTAAGCTTCTCTGTTCTCTGCCATCTCCCCCTCCCCGACCCCTGTCCCCCACAGTGTGGCTCTGCAGAATACATGGCCCCTGAGGTGGTGGAGGTGTTCACAGACCAGGCCACATTCTACGACAAGCGCTGTGATCTATGGAGCCTGGGCGTGGTCCTCTACATCATGCTGAGCGGCTACCCGCCCTTCGTGGGTCACTGTGGGGCTGACTGTGGCTGGGACAGGGGTGAGGTCTGCAGGGTGTGCCAGGTGAGTAGGCGGCCCCAGGGAGCCCTACGTAGACCCCACTGGGGGTCAGTGTGGTTGTGGGATGTCAAGCAGGACTGGGCTGGGAGAGCGTTCCTGATCTGAATAGGGGCTCATAGTGCCCTCTCCCTCTCCTGTCAGGATGGCCACAAGGTGAAATAGAGATAATCAGACATTCCGCCCAGCTGGGAGTTCAGGGCAGGATTGTTGGCTGAATGACTCTTGAAGGGTGTGTCCTGCCCTGATGAAGAGGGACAAGAATTACAAGTAGAAGGAACAGCACAGGCAAAGATGTGGGCAGAGCCTTCTAGGAAGGGCCAAGGAATTTGGGCTTTGTTTTATAGGCAATCTCCACTCATCACCCATCCAGCCCACCAACAACATAGCCATCCCAGCCTGCCAAGGGCATTCTGTATAGTTTGATCATCTAGGGGACAGTGTGGGGTGGGTCTGGGAAGAGGCCCCAGTCTGTGGCATCCCCAGGCCATGAGCTGCACCTATAGCTGAGGTCAATTGAGGCCAGTTGATTAAAACAATGACAGGCACATCCTGCCCATCTCTGGCAGTGTGGCCTCAGGAGGAATCTTTTGTACCTAGGACAAGCTGTTTGAAAGCATCCAGGAGGGCAAGTATGAGTTTCCTGACAAGGACTGGGCACACATCTCCAGTGAGGCCAAAGACCTCATCTCCAAGCTCCTGGTGCGAGATGCGAAGCAGAGACTCAGCGCCGCCCAAGTTCTGCAGCACCCATGGGTGCAGGGGGTGAGTGACTCCGGGGAGGGGTGCTTTCCACCACTCCAGGCCTGTGGCATGGCCCCAAGGAAGCTGTCATGCCAGCGAGTACTGATCACCAGCCTTGTGGCTGATATAGCTGAAGAGGACACCATCCATCCCTGTGTGTGTAGAGTGAATTGACTCTGCCTGTCACCCCAGACTGAGCCCCTTATAGGCTACAGACTTGGCTCTAACCTTGGCCACAGACTAAGCCCCAACAGAGTCATCTGGGGATTTGGCGCATGCACCCAGCCCTTTAAGCATCCTGCTGCCGTCATTTGCAGTCTGTAGTATCATCCCCTTACGCAGAAGCAGCATTAGCTGAGAGCACCCAGAAGCCAGCAAGGCCTTGCTGTGCTGATTGTTGTGTGGCCAAGTTGCAACACATAGGTTCTCCTTATGGCCTGGGAGTCTGCATACAGCTGGCCTGAAAGGCAAATGGTGGTATTTTTCCCTAAGCTTAGAATTCATGTCTTCACTAGAAAACATTTTTTTTTTTTTGAGACGGAGTTTCGCTCTTGTTACCCAGGCTGGAGTGCAATGGCACGATCTCGGCTCACCGCGACCTCCGCCTCCTGGGTTCAGGCAATTCTCCTGCCTCAGCCTCCTGAGTAGCTGGGATTACAGGCACGCGCCACCATGCCCAGCTAATTTTTTGTATTTTTAGTAGAGACGGGGTTTCACCATGTTGACCAGGATGGTCTCGATCTCTTGACCTTGTGATCCACCCGCCTCGGCCTCCCAAAGTGCTGGGATTACAGGCTTGAGCCACCGCGCCCGGCCCTAGAAAACATTTTTTAAAATCCTCCTTGGCTACTTACAATATCTGACCTCTGCCCTCCAAGGGGTCTGCTAGACACTCCCATGACTTACCGGTCTCTTTGATGTGCCAGGCCCTGTCCGGTCTCAGTGACCCTACGAGTGGAAGCAGGCAAGCATTGCCAGCCTGTGTTACAGACGGGGACCCAGTTCAAGTGTCTAAGTGGCTCATTTCCAGACCCATAAGTGAGCACCTACCACACACCAGAGGGACAAGTGAGACCCAGTCCCTGTGTCTGCTCTAGTGGAGAGAAGTAGACAGGGGGCTAAGTTACAGCATGACAAAGACTTCTAAGAAGTGCTAGGGGCAGCCGGGCATGGGTCCACCTGTAATCCCAGGACTTTGGGAGGCCAAGGCAGGTGGATCACGAGGTCAAGGTTCGAGACCAACCTGACCAACACGGTGAAACCCCGTCTCTTAAACCCCAAAAAAAAAAAAAAAAAAAAAAAAAATGCTAGGGGCACAAAGGGAGCAGGACCCCCCCACCCACCCCAACCTGGGCCTGAGACTGAGGTAGGAAGGTGGCAGGCAGGGAAGGGGAAATGCAAGTCACAGGGGAAGTGACCTTTGACCTTTGAGCTGGGTCCTCGGGGATGATTAGAACTTTGCCAGGCAAAAGGAAAGAGAGGCTTTCCATGCAGAAGCAGCTGTGTTGGGGGCTGTGACTGCAGATTGTACCTTTCTTGATCTCTGCTTGGAAGGCCTGACCCTGCAGGCAAGCATAGCCAAGCCCCTGTGCTGGGTCAGCAGCCTTAGTAACCTACCCACTGCTGGCTTGGGTGGGGCAGCTCTTGGAAGGAGGGAGCACGCTTTACCTATTCATCTGTCCTTCCCCTTCTAGCAAGCTCCAGAAAAGGGACTCCCCACGCCGCAAGTCCTCCAGAGGTAAATGCTCTGACCACCCCCACACCCTGCTCTCCCTCAAGCTCTCAGCCACCATGGGGGTAGAGGTGGGGCCCAGGGAGTCCCATCTCTAGGCTCAGGTAGCCAAAGGGGCTCCCTGCCCATTTCCCCTCCTGACTCTCTTTTCCTCTACTCTGGATCTGTCTCCCACCCTTCCCTTCCTTCACCTAGATTGCCTCCTCTGCCCTCCAGTACTTTAAGCCTCCCCCAGCACTGCTGGCAGGAAAAAAAAAGCCTGTTTTACCCATTGAACTATAACTTACAGCCCAAAGACAGACCTTATCTGTGGGCTATTCACACAAGGCTTCCCTCTGCCCTTGCATTTGGTGAAAGGAGCAGGAGTGAAGGACACCAGAAGGCAGTGGGAGTGACGTACAGTACCAGATGGGCGGTGATAATAGTGGTCACCAGGATTAAGTCCTTAGCACAGCCAGGCATGGTAGCAGGTGCCTGTAATGCCAGCTACTCAGGAGGCTGAGGCAGGAGAATCGCTTGAACCCAGGAGGCAGAGGTTGTCGTGAGTCGAGATGGTGCCACTGCACTCCAGCCTGGCGACAGAGCGAGACTCTCTTTCAAAAAAAGTAGTAAGTCCTTACCACATGTCAATGTGATGCTAAGGGCTGGGTATAATTATATCCATGCTCTTCACAATGAGTTTAAGAGAGGTGTTCTAGATGAGAGAGGTGAGAATAGAGATCAACTTGCTAAAGGCCACACAACTGCCCTGTTCCCAAAGGGCCAGGGCTAAGCAGCATGGGAAACCCTTTTGGCACCAGCCTCATGGCCAGCTTTTAGTAGCTACACAAGGAAGTCATACACCTCCATAGTCTCAGTTCGTGTGACCCATTTGCTATTGCCCAATTTGGGTTCCTACCTGACTCTCTAGAGTAGCCTCCAGATGCCTTTATGCACCAAACCTTAGACCCACCTTAGAAGATTTATTCTGCAAACCCAAAGTGCCTGTCCATGCTGGTCCTGGGCTGGGTGCTGGGGACATGGCATAAGCGACACAGGCCTTGCTCTGGGAGCTCCCCACCCGGGCTGGGAGAGGAGAGGGACAGGTGCATTTAATGTGCCCGGTCTCTGCCTGTATGTAGAGTTGTGAGAGCTTAGAGGAGGGTGCTCTGAGGAGAAAGGGGAGCTTGCCCTTGCTGTCAACCCAGGGATGGTACTTGGGACTCAAATTGCAGTCCCTAGTCAAGCAAGATTCCAAACCTATGTAACAGCTACTTTGGCGAGAGCAGCCCGGCCCGGCTCAGGAAGATCTGGTGGGTGTGTAGAGCCGCAGCAGCGAGTGGGAGTGTCCCCGAGCTGGCCTGGCTGACCCCAGAGCCCTGTCACCCTGTTTTCTGTGCCTTCCCTGACCCTGCAGGAACAGCAGCACAATGGACCTGACGCTCTTCGCAGCTGAGGCCATTGCCCTTAACCGCCAGCTATCTCAGCACGAAGAGAATGAGAACGAACTAGCAGAGGAGCCAGAGGCACTGGCCGATGGCCTCTGCTCCATGAAGCTTTCCCCTCCCTGCAAGTCACGCCTGGCCCGGAGGCGGGCCCTGGCCCTGGCAGGCCGTGGTGGAGACGGGAGCCCACCCACAGCACTCTGAAATGCTCCGGTCACGCCTTATAGGCCCTAGGCCTGGCCAGGCATTGTCCCCCTCAAAACCTGTGTGGCTGAAGTCTGCAGAGCAGGCAGCAGGGTCTGCTCTGTGGCTCCATTCAGGCTTTTTCCATCTATAAAGGCCCTGAAGTTCCCACCAACCCCCCATTTCCCCTGGGTCCTGGAGGAAAAAGCTTTTTCCAAAGGGGTTGTCTTTGAAAAGGAAAGCAATCACTTGTCACTTTGCATAATCGCCTGCAGCAGGAACCTCTCTGTGCTGGGCTCCGCCTTCTCACCCGCCTGCAGATCTGGGATCTGGCCTGCTCTCACCGCTGCAGCGACGGCTGGGGCTGCAGCCTGCAGGGAGAAGCGAGAAGCATCAGTTGACAGAGGCTGCCGACACGTGCCTCTTCCCTCTCTGCTCTGTCACCCTCCTCTGGCGGTCCTTCCACCTTCCTCTGTCCTCCGGATGTCCTCTTTGCCCGTCTTCTCCCTTGGCTAAGCAAAGCCATCCCCTCAATTCAGGGAAGGTCCAGGAGCCTTTCTCATTCAGGAAATCAGATCAGTCTTCCAGTCTGCAGCACGGAGAAGCACATAATCTTTCTTTGCCGTGACCAAAATGTGTCCCTCATTTATCATCCCCTTTGTTTGTGATTGCTGCTAAAGTCAGTATTATTTCTTTTTTTTAAAAAAAAGTTTGGTTTTTTTAACCAGGCTGTTCTAGCAAAGATGGGACTTTAAACTCCCACTCCAAGCCCATGGACTTCCCAGAGAGAGTAACGGCTTGCTCTTCTTTCTGGAATGTCCATGCATTTTGGTTTTAATCAGCTGTTCTCTGGTTTTAACTGATTTTAAAGCTGTTCCTATGACAAACTTAGAGATAGCGTTGGTGTCTGCTGCTGTGTCCCCAGGTCCTTGTGTGGGTGGCACAGATCTGGGCAGTTAGGTGGAGCTCTGTGCCTGAGGTGAAGCCACACGGGGGGCAAGGCGGGGGTCAGCCTCACTGCCCTGGTTTGAGCGATGCGGTGCCTGCTGCCGGAGCGTGTGAAGGTACAGCCATTCAGATAAGCTGAGCTATTGAGTTACATAGAGAAAATAGATTTGCATGTGTCAGGCAGACATTTATACACCACCACGGTGCTTTTATACATTGTGCTTGTTTTAATAAAACTTAAATTCTAGCTGTGGCTTATTTGGTGGTCCTTTTTTTACCTGCAGACCTGAGAAGGAGCCTGGCCTTCTAAACTGGGGGTAAGTCCAGCCAGGTGGGGAGAAGGTATCTCTTATCAAGACCCCTAAATAAAAACCATATTTGACCCAAAAAACAAGGTGAAGGAGACTTTGCTTTTTTTTGTCTAGGTGAGGAAATGAAATTCGTCAAACATTTATCAATTGCTTCTTCTGTGCCAGGACCCAGAAATGAGTAAGAAACAGCCTTTGCTTTTTAGGAGCTCCCCAAGTGGTAGAGGCGGTGTCAGCGACCATGACACAGGAGACTTCAGAATGTGCTTTAATAGATGTCCCCTGCACCCAGCGGCCCACAAGCAGGGAACAAATTTCCCCTCTGTCTAAAGCATTACTAAGCCTTTATCAAGGGTGTATCATGTGCCCAAGACTATGCTCATCCTGCCAGAGTTGACAACAAAGAAAAATGGTGCATCCCATCCACAGCCCTCATGTACATCATGCAAAGGATTTTGGTGTCCATTGTCCCAGGTGATCCTCAGAGCCAGCCAGGAGAGGACTGAGGTGGAAATGACCTTTATAAGTTCCCAAGGAGGTGGCAAGAGGGAGGTCTGAGTGTCTGGGCAGTGGACTGGGTGCTGATGACAGCTGGCTCACTGTCACCTCCGCCTCCCAGGTTCAAGGAATTCTTCTGCCCCAGCCTCCCGAGTAGCTGGGATTACAGGCAACTGTCACTGTGCCTGGCTAATTGTTGTATTTTTAGTAGAGATGAGGTTTCACCATCTTGGCCAGGCTGGTCTTGAACTCCTGACCTCGTCATCCACCCACCTCCGCCTCCCAAAGTGCTGGGATTACAGGCGTGAGCCACCATGCCCAGCCCACTTTTTCATCTACGTGGAGTGTTCTTGGTGAGGAAAACAGACCTGCAAAATCTGATCCTTTTGGCCCACAGAATCCCAGCCCCTGGGGACCCAGAACCAGGATGTGAGTTCTGTCCCTGAACTTAACCCAGCCTAGTGGAAGACCCAACAGGAATGTGACTCCAAGGGGGCTTCCTGGGTCAAGCACTCTCCACACCCTGTCCTGCTGCACCTCTCCCAGGCTCTCAGGCTCCGTGCCTTGGCTCAAGCTGTGCCCTCTCCCAGCCCACCTCCCCAGCCTGGCCCGCCTGGCAAGGCCCCTCTCATCCTGCATGGCTCTGCTTAAACACCACGGCTGACCTAGGTTTTGCCAGCATTGTCATGCGCTTACTAAGTAACAAGTACTTTTATTTTTTTATTTTTTATTTTTAGTAACAGTTACTTTCTAAGAAGTTTAGAGGCATTAGCATCTCATTCTCAGCAGTCCTATGAGGTAGATACTATTATTTTATCCCACTTGACATGGAAAATCAAGCAAAGAAAGGAAAAATAGCTTGCCCAGGGCTATACAGCTAGGAATGGTGGAACTGGATTCCCTGCAGGAAGGCTTGGGACCCAGCGCTATGCTGCCTGCATTCAAATCCCAGCTCTGCCACTTACTAGCTCTGGGGCTTCGGCCAGTTACTTAATCTCTGAGAGTCAGCTTCTTCAACTATAAATAGGCATGATAGTTCTTACTTCATAGAACTGTTGTGAAAGTTACAAATTAATAATTGCAAAGTACTGAGAGCAGTTCCAGGCCCACACAGGAAATGCTCCATAAATGTTAGCTATTACAGTTGTAGTTAACCCAGTAGTCCCTATTGATCCAATTTCACTTAATTCCATAACTTCAGTTACCTGTGCTCAAAATAGGTGAGTCCAACACAATAGGATATTTGAGAGACCACATCCATGTAAGTTTTATTACAACATATTGTTACAATTGTTCTATTTTGTTCTAATCTGCTACTATATCTTATTCATTCATTCATTCATTCATTCATTCATTTTGAGACGGAGTTTCACTCTTGTTGCCCAGGCTGGAGTGCCATGGCACGATCGTGGCTCACTGCAATCTCCACCTCCCAGGTTCAAGCGATCCTCCTGTCTCAACTTCCCGAGTAGCTGGGATTATAGGCATGGGCCACCACACCTGGTTAATTTTTGTATTTTTAGTAGAGACGGGGTTTCTTCATATTGGTCAGGCTGGTCTCGAACCGCTGACCTCAGGTGATCTGCCCACCTTGGCCTCCCAAAGTGCTGGGATTACAGGAATGAGCCACCATGCCCAACCTACTATACCTAATTTATAAATTAAACTTTATCACAGGTAAGTATGTATAGGAAAAATCATAGTATATATAGAGTTTGGTACTGTCCACAGTTTGAGACTTCCACCGAGGGGTCTTAGAACGTGTCCCCTAGGGATAATCAGGGATTCCGGTATTTACTATTGTCTATCAGGGCAGAATCACACAACTCACAGTCCCAGTGCTCAAGACAAGCCCTCCCTGGTCCTTGGCTCCGGGAGCACTCTGCAGAAGCACTGTGTGCTGTGGAGATACGTCCAGGCCTCTTAAGATAAGCCAGGCCTCTGTCCCTTGATGGGATCCTCCTGTGGACAGGCTGCTCCGCCCTTCCAGAATGCAGTCCCTGGCCCAGAGGGGCAGCTGTGGCACAAGGGGAAGAGCCTGAAGTTGGGAGCGGGGCCCTGGGTTCCAGTCCTGCCTCTGCCACTGTTCACTGGTGACTTTGGAAATCCTGGCTCTGCTGGCCAGAGGCAGATCCAGCAGATGCACTGAGGAGGCTCTTAGACCAAGGAGCCCCTTCCACGCATGGGATCTGCAATGGTGGAAGCCAGCTCCCCAGCTCCAAAGCTCACACGTGGGCAGGGCCCTAGAAGGAGAGAGCTGGTCCCAACCAGTTGGAGCGTCTCAGACCTCAGGCCCCTCTCCTCAAACCCAGGGAGCAGGCCTCAGCCCCAGATCTGGTTCATTTGGACCCCGAGGACTCCTGTCTGAGGGCCTCTGGACACAGGAACCGTCCAGTCTTTGTTCCTCTGTGTGTCTACCTGCCTGGGCTGTGGGGGACCCTCCTCCCTCCTGGCTAACTGCCCCTCCCAGACCCAGCTCCATGAACAGAGGTGCCTTGGTCCCATGCCAGCTGTTCCAGCTGCTTCAGGTCTGGTGGGGGCCAAGGAGCAAGGTGCCCCCCAAGGCTGACACTCTTGTTGCCATGGTAGCAGTTGCCTTGGAAGCTGCTTCCCTGACTTCAGCTTCCAAACGGTCCGAGAAAGCTACCCGTCCCCTGGGGGACTGGTGAATTAATCACACTCTTTTCCAGGGTTCTCACCCCTCAAGGAAAATAAACAGAACCAAACCAAGCTGGGGCCTTTTCGCCCACTCTTCCTCCCCACCCCCATGCCACACTTGGACTTCGTGCTCTGAGAAGGAAGGAGGATGGGCAGACGCTCTCCAGCCCTTGCCTCGGCAGGAGACAAAGAGAAGAAACTTTGTGATGGAATTCAGCAATGTGCCCGTGGCCTTACCACACCTGAGAACTGTGGCCTCCAAGAGGACCCAGGTTCAGCGGGGAGGCTCTGATGCTTGCGAGGGGTGGGGCGTTGGTGGGGCGATGGGGCCCTGATGCCTTGGGCCTCCTTCTCATCATGGCTCACAGAGAGGTTCCTGAACTCATTTACCTATTGCTGTGAGCACATCACTCAAGGACATGCATACATTTTCTTTTTCAGAGATGATATAGCCCAAATTGAGTAAAGAATTGGCAGGCCTCCCTCTCTACATCACAACTATTTCCTTTAATGACGCACTCCTGGTCCTGAGGGAAGAGGCAGGCCTGGACTGATTTTCTTTCCTTTTTTTTCTTGAGACAGGGTTTTACTCCCATTGTCCAGGCTGGATTGCAATGGTGTGATCTCAGCTTACTGCAACCTCTGCCTCAAGTGATCTTTCCACCTTAGCCTCCCAAGTAGCTGGGACTACAAGTATGCACCACTGTGCTCAGCTGATTTTTGTTTTTGTAGAGACAGGGTTTCACCATGTTTCCCAGGCTGGTCTTGAACTCCTGACCTCAAGTAATTCTCCCACCTCAGCCTCTCAAAGTGCTGGAATTGTAATCCCACCATACCTGGCCCCTTGACTGATCTTTGAACACAATGTCTCCCTCTGAAGGTGGGGCTGCCAATTCCTCCCACCTCAACTAAGACAGTGTTGAAATGCAGGGGCAGAGGCCGGGCACGGTGGCTTATGCCTATAATCCCAGCACTTTGGGAGGCCAAGGAGGGCAGATCACGAGGTCAGGAGTTCAAGACCAGACTAACCAACATGGTGAAAGCCTGTCTCTACTAAAAATACAAAATTAGCTGGGCATGGTGGTGCATGCCTGTAATCCCAGCTACTCAGGAGGCTGAGGCAGGAGAATCGCTTGAACCCAGGAGACAGAGGTTGCAGTGAGCTGAGATCACGCCATTGCACCCCAGCCTGGGCAACAAGAGTGAAACTTAGTCTAAAAAAAAAAAAAAAAGAAAGAAATTCAGGGGCAGAGACAGCCCAGAGTACTTCCCAGTGGGGCAGAATCCTGGGTCCGTAGGTTCCACGAGGACTCTGGGGCAATTCCTCTGTTCCCCCATGTCTCGGATTCCCCACCTGTTTTATGAAGAGCTGGGGCAGCCCTGGTCCTGTGATCTCGGAACTCATGAAGGCTTAACATGCCTCTCCCTTGAGGCCAGAGTGTTTTCTGGGATCTGAAACAGTGCACAGGCACCTCTACTACCCCCATGCCCATCACCGGATGAGGCCTTGGGCTCAGGGAGGTGGAACAGCTGGCCCGAGCCCCATAGTGCAAGGTGGAAAACACGGCTCCAGAAGCTTCTGCCTTGGTGAGGGTGTAAGAGAGTCGCCCTCAGTCTTAGACTTTGAGAGGAGCCAGGAACACGTTTCATGGACAATTATTTTGGTGGCTCCTTCTAAAACTAAGTCAGTGGGGGATCAATTATGTGTGACAGAGACATGGGCTATGATTTGATGCCTATTAGAGAAATAATCAGATCTCATCCAGGCAGGAGGCACAGTGGATGCTGGCAGCAGCGCTGTGGCTGGGGAATGCCAGTTCCAGGGACTTCCCCTGTGTGGGGGCCAGGAAGACAGTCCAAGGCCCAGCTGTGCGCCGCAGTCACCCCTCTCTGCGACTCATCGTGAGCCGCAGCTCCACTTGGTGGCCCTGGGCCTTCTCAGGCTCTCTCCTCCACACACAAGGAATGCCTCTTGTTAGAGACGGCGACTCCCTTGTGTCCACAGCCCTGCTCTTTGATGACTGGAGGTGGTCGTGCAGGTGCTAGTCCTCTCCCCGAACTCTGTCCTCATGTTCAGAAGCCTAGCTCAGGTCTCTCCCAGCCACAGCATTCTGGGGAGCTCACTCCCAGAAGCTGCCCTCCAGGGGTCCTCAGTCTGCAGAGGAGGTAGAACAAGAACAGGGCAGTCATGGAGGCAGGTGGAGGAACAAGAACTTGAGCTGGCAAAGTAAGGCTGCAGATGTGATACAGAGAGGGGGCATCCAAGAGAGGCCAGGGAGGCCAGTGACTGGCAGGGAAGGTGACGGGATTCTGAATAAGATTATGGGACCCTAGGAACTGTGCCCAGGTGCAAGGCCAGGCCAAGGCCATATTCTGGGACTGGGGAGGCCCCAATACATACAGGGCCAAATAACATAATGAATGATGAAGGCTGGAACTAGGGGCCGGGGCAGGGCTCAGGGCTGGGCTGGGTTGGGTTGGTGACCACTGCCCAGCCTTGGGTCAGGGTATCCTGCAAGTAGCTCAGACAGGCTAAGCACAGGTGCTCAGTTCAGCGGGTGGGAAGGCATCAACCATGACCCAGTCTCCCACTCGTGGCCTCACCTCCTGGCCTCCCAGTACCCAGCCCCTACCAAATCCTCTTCCCTACCCTACCCCTTAGGTATTTTCCTCCTGCCCCTACCAGCATCACGACTGCTCTTCCCTGTCACTCCCAATCGGGGATCCCCAAGGTGGCTAGAAGGGTTAACTCTCCATCCCACTGGCCACTATAGGGGGGTGGGCACCAAGTCCACCTGAGGACAGGGGAATTCCCTGAGATCAAGCATCAGACCAGGCCGTCAGCCCTGCCTGGAGCCCAGAGGTGGACAGGGTGGGGATGGGACTGGCAGGGGCAGACAGCAGTCTTGGAGGGATGCCTCTCCCTGCCCGCTTCCTATCCCAGGCACACACAGTTCCTGTCTCAGAGGCCCCAGGTGTGTCTCCAGGCCAAAGAGCAGAGCACAGCAGAGTGGGTCCTGAGCATGTGACCAGGAGTCTCCTCACATCCCTGGCTTCTGAACAGCATGGAAAGCCACCAGCTCATTCTTCTCCTCAGGAACCCGCAGTGGAACCTGGGCCAACTGTGCGCTGGGCCCCAGGGACCCAGATAGCCACTCACATTGCAAGCTCATGAATAACTCAGCACCTCCCTGCTGCCTCCACCTCTGAGGAGCCCGTGGCCCCTGGACCAACTCCCCCTTCACCCCGCCTCCCATTGCTTTAAATTTTCATAGGCTGAGGCTCACTGACAATGAGTGGCTCTAGGAAGCTGGGGCTAGATATCCTGGGCAGGGGAGCTGGAACTCTTCTGGGTTGAGGCCGTCAGGGAAGGATCCCATGGAACAGGCCCAGCTCCCTAGAACTCTGGCGGCCAAAGCAGAAATGTAGCCAGGCAGGAGTCCCAAGGGTGGGTTTCTGTTTCAGAGGCCTTTAAGAGAGGAAGAGTAAACTGGGTGACCTGGTACAGATCCCAGGTCAAGGTGGGACCGGAGGTCGCCTAGTGGAGCAGTGGGATAGGACCGCAGATAAATCCCAGGGTTCCCTGCCCAGAATCTTACTGCCCAGAAACTCCCACCCTGAAGTTGGAGCACCAACACGGGACATCCAAGAGCCCAGAAACTTCCAGGACTTTTCTGGAGCCAGACTGCACCGGCTGGAGGCAGTGCCCCGGTGGGCCTGCATGGACATCCCTATCAGCAGCAGAGACTTCCGCTGCCTGCAGCTGGCCTGTGTGGCTCTCGGCCTGGTGGCCGGCAGCATCATCATCGGCATCTCTGTATCCAGGGCTGCAGCTGCCATGGGCGGTGTCTTTATTGGTGCTGCTAGTCTGGGTGAGCAGGGGCTGGGCTGGGATAGGGAGAGGAGATTCTGGAAGGGGAACAGGGGCATGGTCAGGTGAACAAGGAACAGGGAAGGGCTGGGGCAGCGGGAATTGGTTGGGGATAATGGAAGCTAGAGGTGTGAGCAAGGCAGCCATCAGGGGCACAGGAGGGAGAGGAGGAATGCACTCGGGCTCCATCCAGCCCTGGGGAGGAGACAAGAGGGGAGCTGGCTGTCACACTCCTTTCAGGCTACTCAGCACCTACCTCCTGCCTCCATCTCTGGGAACCCATGGCCCCTGGACCTCCAGCCCCAAGTTCTAGGCTCTTGGATTTGTGGTGGGATTCATCAGCCTATCTGGGCAGAACAAGGGGTTGATGGCAGCAGGTAAAACGACAGAGTTCCTGAGGACTCCCTGAGCCAGGACAAGCTCCAGCTCAGAAAAGAGGTTTCCTCTTGTTTCCCTGTTTGCCTCCACAGCAGCGGTGTCCATCTGTGTGGGCCAGGCCCACTGATAGCCCTGCAGTGAGGCTGACTGTCATCCCTCGCCCCACCCCACCCCACCCCACCCCCAGGCCAAAAGCAGGAGCAGAAGCACCAGGATGGGGGCTTTGGGTACCTACACCTGCAGGTTGTGGCACAGATGCTCGTCAGGGGATGGAGCTGGGGCGGGCAGGGCAGGACTGGCTGTGCTGCTCCTGCTCCCCAGGTCTGGGTGGGGAGGAGCATGCCGAGGATGAGTGCCCAGTCTGGCCCTAGGGGCCCTGGGGAAGGGTGGGGACAGCAAAGAGGTGGTGGTGGTGTCAGCCAGGCTCATTCCAGCAACCTGCTCTTCACCTCCGCACGGCGGAGTCAGGCAGCTGAGCCCGTCCCAGTCTATAGCCCTTTGCCTAGACAGGCACTGCCCCCAACCCAGACGCACACACCCACGGGCTCACATTTACACACTCACAGTCCCAAGCCTGCACACTTGTGCTCCTCCCATGCACCCATATCCACCCTCAGGCTCCCAGCCCACCCACTCACCAGGCCCTCCCCATCACAGAACCCCTGTGTCTCTTCTCAGGGTTCCTCCTCTTGGCCTACCCCTTCCTGAAGGCTCGGTTCAACCTGGAACACATCCTGCCTACCACGGGTGAGGCCTCTCCCTAAGCCCACAGACCCCTCTGCCAGGGACTGTTCCAGACCCTTTGTGTGTTCGTCTGTGACCCACTGTGCGGCCGGGCTGAGCCCATGTGTGAGAACGCTTTAGCTGTCTGTGTTACAGCTGCTGTGTGTGTGTTGTGCAGGTGTTGCCATGACTACAGCGCAGCAGAATCCAGCCCGCTCCCTGCAGCAAAGGTGCCTGAGCCAGCTCAGAGCTGGGAAGTGCATCTCCCTTGAGAGACTTTACAACTCCCCAAAGCCTCCAACATCTCTAAATAACTCCCTCTTCATCTCTGAACCCCCATAAAAAACCCTCTATTTCCCCTAAGACCCCATAGCCTCTGCATAGCTCATCTCCCTCCCCACGTACAGGCTGCCATCTCCACCAAGCCTGTGGGGCTTTACATGTCCCCAGTTCTCCCCGGGACCTCATCTCCCTAAAAGATCTGCCATTTTCTCCTTCAAGGGCCCAGTTCTTCTGCCCCTGCCCAAATCAGCCCAGATCATGTGAGACCTAAAGGAATGCAATGGAGCAAAGACAGCATCAGGGATGGAGACTAGACAGCAAGAAGGACTTCCCTTCCCAACCTATGTTTGGTTTGGGGAATGGCTTGGTAACCAGGGGGTTTGGGGCGGTCTCATCCTGCAGGGAGCCTAAGAATCCATCCCCATCCAGGGCCAGACCACGGGGAAGGAAGATCCAGCACCAGTGGCAACAAGGAGGGTAAGTTCCAGAAATTCCCGAGTCCATCTTTCATCTCCCCTCCCTGACTGAGCAGCTCCGTGAGGCCCGGGAGCCTTGGGCGGCATGGCAAAGGGGCTTCCCCAGCACAGGGAGCCGGTACTGCTGGGCAGCTCCCCCACGTGTGCAGCCAGACCCTTGCTGCTCCGAGCTGAACTCATCTCCTCTTGCTTGTCCTGAGGGCTGCTGTCTGCCCCAGCATGGACACTGAGATGAAGGCACCTCCCTGCCCCTGCCCCTCCTCCTCCCTCCCCTTTTCCTCCCCCAGGTCCCGTGCCTCAGTTTATTTTCCCACTCCCCTCTCCCATCTATCTCCCCCAGGCTCAGAGGAACTCAAAGGGACCCAAGACTGGGGTGCTCAGTGACCCCAGGGCAGAGCTAGGATAGCTGGGGAGAGGAGGGCATCCCAGGAGATAGTTTCAGCCCAGTTTAAAGCTCATACCCCAAACTGGGCATCTCTTTGTTCCTCTGCCCCACACCTGGAAAATTCCACGGCAGGAGTTTCTTAAAGCTGGATCCAGCAGAGTCTCCACCGCCACTGGTAGGACGCCTGATACTCAGCAAAAGGCCCATTCCAGACACCATTCCAAGCGCTGTGCCTGTATTAGTAACTCTTTCAAGTCGCACAACAGCCACATGAAGGCAGCACTACCATTAGTTTCATTTTACATATGGGGCACCTGAGGCACAAGGAGATTGACACACAGCCAGGAAGTGCTGCAGCCGCAGCTCAAGCTGGGCAGTGGGCTCGGGGTCCTGCCTCTACCCCCAGCCCATGCTGCTATCCTCCTGAAAGCCATCCTGACCCCAGTGTCGCTTTAAACTGGGCTGAAACTGTCCCCTGGGATGCTCCCCTCTCCCCATTCTCTCCCGGCTCTGCCCTGGGGTCCCTGAGCACCCTGGCCTTGGGTCCCTCTGAGCTCCTCTGACCCTGAAAACTCCATGGGGACCTGTCCACTGAGGCCGTCCTCGTCCCTGCTCTCTCCCCCAGGAGCCCGCAGCAGCCTGTCCACCGTGAGCAGGACCCTGGAGAAGCTGAAACCGGGGGCCCGAGGGGCTGAGGAATGCTGAGGCAAAGGCTGCGAGGCTGCCCCTTCCCGGCCTTCCCGTCCCACCTGCTGCCCCTATCTGAGTGCCCTCTGGGGGTAGAAGACCCAAACAGGGCATGAGCCAGGCCCTGCATACCCCAGAGCAGCCGGGGACAGCGTGGAATGGGACCTTTTGCACTCGCCTAGCCAAGGCTCTCAGAAATGGATTCCACTGGCGTGGGCTGGGGCCCAAAGCAAAGTGTCACCAGATGCCCCCACAGGGTTCCTTGTTTCAGGCTCCTGCCCCGCCTTTCTTTCTGGACTGCAGCTCAGCTTTGTTCCCTGTTCAATCTACTGACTGGTCTCTGGAATTTGGCGTCCAAGACCCTGACTATGATCAGGACGCCCCAGTCCCTTGCTCTAACCTGGTTACAGAAGTGAACCACAGGCTCATAAGAACCACGGACGGGGACTCTCCCTCCCATGGCCTGGCCCTGGGGCTCTAGAGCTCACAAGACCAATAGAGGGGCTAGACAAGATTCTTTTCCAAATATCAAAACTCCTGGCAGTTCCTCAGGGACAGGCTCTGAGCAGCAGTGAATCAGATGGGGGAGCTTGAGGGGGCTCCTGATCACTGGAGAAGAGCGGCTCACAAAGGGACAGGCACAAACAACCTGCCCCCTGGGGGTCAGAGGAGGCTACTTCTCAGCTGAGCCCAGCCCTGAGACCCCTGGTGTCTAACTCCACCACTCAAGGCTTTTCGTGGTCTGACTTCTCTCTTCCGCCCATTTGCTCACTGCTGCCTGAACAAGTGAAACACATTCCTGTCTCCTGCCCTGCGTTCCCCAGGGCCCTCCCTGCTTCTCTCTGCCTATCAAACTCCCCACCATTAAAGGCCCAGTTCAAAAAATCTCCTACCCACATGCTCTCCTCATTCTCTTCTGCCAGCCTATCTCTTGCCACCCTTCAGGCAGGGTTGAAGTCTTCCTTTTCACAAAGCAATTATTAAGCCATCTTAAGTCTTGTGAATGTTGCCCCTGCTCTAGTGCCTCGCACCAGACCAGTAGGTGCTTAATAAATGTTAATGGCTTCAATTTAATGTAAAAACAATTCCCTAAGCTTTCCCTGGGAAGCCAAGTCGAAGTCCCATCTCCCATGGATAAAGCAAGGTTTGGAGCAAGGAGACCCAGGTGTGGCCACATAGAAAACATTGCTCCTCCCTCCACACCTGCACCCTCCAGGTAGAATTGTTTGACCTCTACAGAGATACCCTCTCCACATGGCTTCTCACCTGGTTTAGTGAGCAAAAGACAAGCTAGAAATAGTGTCCTTCTAGGATCAGTGGAGATGGCACTTCCTCTTGGAAGCCCCCCTGACTTCACTGTGCTTCCCAGGCCCAGGGTTTCCCTCCATCACAGCCCAATCACTCTGAGTTACCCTGGTCTATTTCCCCTCTTGAGAGTGGGAGCAGAGGGCTAGGCACCCAGAAAGCACCCCAGTGGATGCTGGGAAACCAAAGTCTTCCAAAGCAGCAGAGTCCATCTCAGATGGGAAAGCTGAGGCCCCACTGGAAAAAGGACTCATTGAGTCCCATAGTAAAAAGTCGCAGGGCCAGGCCTACAGCCAGATCTCCCATCTCTCCCTATCCAAGGCTCTAGCTTTACTGTGCTCTGCACAGGCGACAGGGATCAGCTCCCCGACCACAGCATGACAGACCCCCATGAAGGGACTGCCTTCCATAAATGCTGGCCAGGTGTAGAGACTTCGGTTCCCTCCGCTGTAAGAAGCAACTTCCTCTCCTTGAATTTTCCTTCTCTCCACCTGCTCCTGAATATTCTCTGCCCCTTCTCCTTTCCTTCATCATCATCATCAACAATAACTCAGTCTCCTGGTCTTTCCTCAATCAATGAGGAAACCCTTTCTCCTATCTGCCTTCGATCCTCACCTCAGTGCCCCAGAGATGTCCAGGGTGGAGGGGGTGGGAGTGGAGGCTGTGGAGCCTGAGCTGCGGGAAGGGTGGTTCCCTACACCCTGCCCATCAACCCCTCTCAGCCACACTCTCCCCAGGGTGGGGCTGCAGAATCCCTGATGCTTGGACAGGCCAGGCACAGAGAGGTGCTGGGGACCAGGTGAAATAAATCAAGGAATAAAAACATACAACGGCAAGACCTACGTCCACTGGGGAAGAACTGGGTGAGGCATCAAAGGACCCTTAAACTGGGTGGAAATTCTTGAGCCTGGGCCTCTAGTTCCTCTCTTTTCCCTGCTGTGGGCTTCCTGAAACATCTTCCCTCCAGCCCAAGTGAATGTCCCAGTACATTTTCCTCAAGTGCATCCCCACCCTCATTTCCTCACTCCCTCCCCCGTGGTCACAGGAGTGGTCAAGGTGGAGGCATGTGGCTTCTCCCCCTTGCACTTCGAGAAAAGGTGGGGTCAGGGCCCGCTGGCGTGGGTGGTGTGGTAGGGGCGTTAGGGTCAGGCCCCGCTGACGTGGTAGGGGCGTTAGGGAGAGGTAGAACCCTCCAATATTTCAGCATGGGATGGGATGTGGACAGGTACAGGTCCTTGAACCAAGCTCCTCCAGTGGTCTGTTCAAGAAATGAAATTGGTTCTTTCCAACAGCCAGTCTCACACCAGGACTGTGACTGTGACTGTGACTGTGCCCGGCCCTGGCTTGGGTGCTGAGAACACATAAGTGACCCAAAGGTAGGGAGTGCTTGGTCCAAGCAGCTTCCCTGAAGTCACATCCCTGCCAGGCCAACCTGGAGGACGACTGCCCAGGCTGGGGCTGGAGTCCAGAGATAAGACTCACATCCTGATTCTGCTCCTCAGGGGCTGGGGCAAGAGGCTGTGGGGCCTTAAGCCCGGCTTTCCTCAGGTGCAAATGAAGGATAGCGGTAGCCCTCCCCCACAGGGCCACTGTCACATGAAGGCTGCCTGCCACACTGTCACGTCAGCTAGGGTTTATGAATGGATGAATGAATGAATGAAGGCAGAGGCTGAAGAGATGTTCTTTCAGCTGAATTCCTCCAGGGTCTGAAAAGTCAGCACCTCAGTCCTCCCACCCACACAGCCCAGCCTGGAGGTGGGCCTGCTGCCCAGCACTCCCTCCCCAGCCCTCATCCCAAAAAGCTCCTACACACCCCACCAGGAGATAGAGTCACACCCTAGACAGGCTCGTGGCCACACCCCTTTCTAGGGTGCACGATTGGTGGTTGATTGAGGAAGAGGTGCTGAAAACAAGTCCACCCCTGGAAAAATCCCCCCACCCCACAGCTCCAGCCCCCCTCCAGAAAAGGTGGAGAATCACTTTGAAGCTGAAGGCAGAGCCAGTTCGACTGGCACCCCTGTCCTAAAGTGAGCTGCAATATATCCAAGCCCGGCTCTCGGAAAGTGCGGACAAGACTGTGTAGGTGAGCTAGGAGTTATTTGCAAGGGTGCTTGCAGACCGAGAATCTTAGAGGAGAAGGGGAGAAGGACGGAGCGGAGCAGAGCGGAGAGGGGAGGTGGATGGTGAGAACGCCGCTCGCCCCGGGTCGAAGGGGAGCTGAGGGCTGGCAGCCAACGCTTGGAGGAGAGGGGCTCGGGGCGGGGGAGGGGGAAACGGCTGGGGACCCGCTCAGGCCAGCGCGCCAGCCCCTCCCCACCCACCGCCGCCGCAGCGGGGCTGCTCCAGGGGAGCAGAGCCGAGTGCGAGCGGGTCTGCTCGTCTCTGCCCTGCGCATAGGGGCGGGGGGCCCAGAGCCGGGCGCTCTCTCCCAACCACCTGCTGATCTAGGATCTCCAAGCGGCTCGTCCCAGGACCCCGCCCGGAAACCCGGCCACGTGGGAGAGGGCGACCCCACCTCTAACCCCCGCGCTGTGCGCCAGCGCAGCCCTTCAAAGTCAGCAGACGGCGTAGGGGGTGACCTGGCCTCTCTCCTGGCTGCCCTGCGCTCCCAGGTTCCTTCCTTTCTGCTGACCCAGGGTGCTCAGAGGTCAGCTGGGTCGGACCCACAGAATGTCCACGTACCGGCTCAGGCAAGTGAAGGAGTTGGGGGAGACTGGCGGGAGGGGGCTGGGAAGGGACGCTTACTGGAAAGGGGGAGAGACCCCATCCAGCCTGAGCTCCAGGGGACAGGAGTAGTGCCCAGACAAGCAGTCGGTCGAGAACCTGTAGCACTGAGAGGACAGGGGTGAGAAAGACAGAGAGGGACTCAGAAGAAGGGGAGACAGGAGAAGGTGAGGCACTCCGCAGGCATTGGAGGCTGGCGGGCTTCCTGGACTCCGCTCTGACTGCGCCCTGCTCTGAACTGGGTAGGACTCTGCCCCAGAATCTCACCTTTCCCCTCCACATCCTCCCCAAGGCCCAAAGTGAGGAGGGGATCTGAGAGAAGAGAGCACCGAACAACTTCATATCCAAGAGACAGGGGAAGCCAGGAGGGCAGGCCCCTCTGACCGATGCCTCTGCTACCATGTATTTAATCAATATTCACTGGGCACCTGGGGAGAAGCAGGCACCCACATTGGGGATATTGCAACAAACGAGGTGGACATGATCTTGGCCCTCAAGGAAGATGGCTGGGGCCTGCAGACCTGGACACAGGAGTCATGGCACCATGACTCCTGAGAATCTGCTTTCACCAAGGCCACCAGCTGACTCCTTTTTGCTGAATTCCATGAGCACTGTTCAACCCTTAGCTAACTTGACCTCTCCAGAGCTTGGGACCTACTGAAGCCTCCCTCCTGGAAACATACTCTTTCCCTGGGATACAGTTCCCTCAATTTCACCTTCATCCACAGAGCCCACAGCCCCAGCCAGAAAATCTGGGCATCAGGAGTTTAGGAGCCCTGATTTGCAGAGTTGCAGAAATCTGAAGGAAGGAAGGAAGCAGCATCCCAGCTGCACTCTGAAGGTAGAGCTGGATCAGCCAGGGAAAGAGAAAGTAGGCTCATGGCTCAGGCCCAGAGAGCAGCACACTCACACACCTGGTGAGGTCAGCCGCGCAAGAGCAAAATCAAGGCAGGGGTGGGCAGGGCTGGGCAGCAGCCATTAGGACCCCAGGAGGAGAGATGGGGCAGTGGTGAGACTAGAGAGGAAGGGATGGATTCCGAGACACCTATAGGGGAGAGTCTGCAGGGCTTGATGATAGATGGCAAATGTGTGGAGGGAAGCCTGGGGAGAGAGGAGCTCAGGATGAAGCCCAGATTTTCTGGCTGGGGCTCTGTGGGCGAAGGTGAAATTGAGGGAACTGTATCCCAGGGGAAGAGTATGTTTCCAGGAGGGAGGCTTCAGTAGGTCCCAGGCTCTGGAGAGGTCAAGTTAGCTAAGGGTTGAACAGTGTTCATGGAATTCAGCAAAAAGGTCTTGGCAGAAACCAGACTGGAGTTGATTGGCTCTTGACAAGGAGGTGAAATATATACTGGAGACAGTGCTTTCAAGAAAGGGACAGTGTTAGCTGGAGGCAGATGGGGCTGAAGGAGGCTTTTTTGTTTGTTTGTTTGTGTTTTTTGGGTTTTTTTT